CTGGATCAATGTATTATTAATGATCATATTTTTTTTAAATAAAATATGAAGAATGCTGAAACAAAATAAATGGAATTAATAGTTGCATCACATATTAAAAATAGAATCTTCCTTATAGAAAATTTAATTCATATTCTTGATTAAAGGTTCTAAACAATGTCCAAAGTTACTCGTTGCCTGGCGTCAATTATAGAAGTTCTTCCATCGATACAGTAACTCCTACTCCTTCCCCAACGAATTTCAAATGGACTTTCAATGAAGACGTGAGAAGAGAACCGCGACAGTCTTTAAATAGAATTTACGGTTCGTTCGACAAAACGTTATTACTTTTCTTAATAAAGCATTTTAAGAAATGATCTAATTTATCATTTAGAAAACCAAGGCAGAATTTATTTCCCGAATACCAACCTAGATATAAATCTGAGGATTGGAACTGTACCCTCTTGCGTCGGTACAACCGTTTGCGAGGATGTCACTGAGTACCCTTCGCACCTGGCTAACGAGATCCTCGAAAACAATCCACAGCTTCGTAATTATCAAAGCGTTGACGTGGTTCGTATGCAGTTTCCTTTGCAGATGCATAAGAAATAAACTTATATCTCAGAGACAACTATTTCATATTTTTATTGTTATTATCCAATTAGATAAAAATCCCTTAAAATTTTACTTATTCAATATCGATATATTACTTCCTTATACTTTTTATACAAATATATTATTTTTCGTCTCCACAATTTTCCTTAATACTTCATTTTAGGTGGACAGTATTGGTTTGAGGATAGACGTTCCTTCAACTACGTCACTTTGTCCCTCATATGTAAGTGTCAGAATAAAACTGATAGAACAAACAGAAATACTGTTATCACATTGAAACAATTCCAGGAACGCGTGATCTATCCTAAATCAGCGGAGAACGTGAACAAAGAGTGGATGTATATACTCAATAACAACAATTTCACGCAGGGAGTGCGCGTAGAAACTTGCATGTGGGTATATTAATTACAATGTGCTAGTCGTCAAAAAGTTAGGTACATTTTATCAGCCTGGTCGTTTTGCTACGAAATACCACCAGCTTTCAAGCTTGCTTTCAATTAACTTTACACAAATGTACATTAAATTGAATTAAAACGATTCTTGAATCATTTCGTATTAAAACAATATAATTATGTCCACTTTCATTATTGCACAAGAGAACATATTTTTCATAATCTAATATTGATCTAAGAATAATTAAAAAAATCAGATGTAATGAGATATTCAATTATTTAAATAGGAATGAGGGTGGAACCTGTAAAATATTCGATGGCCTCACGAATGGTTACGTTACATCCTGCAAACAGAAATACGCTTTCCGGCAACTGGTGGCGATGAGGCAGGACGGTTCCCCGATTAAGCACCTATTCCGAATGCCATCAAGTTGCTGTTGTCACATCGAATTCGTCGCTGACTTAGCAACCGAGCGATTTTTAGTATGATTAGATCATCGATTGATCTAAATCCTTGCCAATTTATGGAAATATTTCATGAAAGTAACACTTTTACAATTGTAATCTTTATTAGGATTTAATAATAATAACAGTAAATAATGCGGAAATAACAGTGATTGAAATAAATAATTTATAAATAAAATCGAAGAATCATTTATAAAATAATAATAAAAGCAAGAGATTCTGTTTAATTCAACGACATCCTAATTCCTCAATCATGAACCACGTGCTCATTCACTGGGAATGATATTTACGCGAGTAACGACAGCGCATTAGACATTTGTGGGTTCATAAATAGACAGTGATCGCTGTCCGAAGATTTAGTTGATAGAATACCACCGGAAATTTAGGATCACGGCTAGCGCTCAGAGTAATGGAAACTAGTTTATTTTCCAGTGGAATGGTATTCCATGCAGTCCGCATCTGAATTGACTGAATTAAGCAGTATCAAACTACTCCCCAATTAACACTCTTCCTTTCAATTGCTAATTGAACTAACAACTCTTCATTCATGTATTAATTAATAAATATGAGAGATATGCCATCATTTTGATTGACAAATGACAATGAAAATGAAATCTGGAATATTATTAATAAATCGTGCAAGGATGAAAATGTTTTTAGAACGATATATAAAGAAATAGAAATATTTATTAAAAACAAATAGTACAGAATTTGACAAGAGAGAAGAGAAGAGAAAACTGTCTTATTGGAACCGTAGAGCTTTAATATAGATAGAATATTGATTCAGGAAGCAATAGTGGAGCTTGGCTAGTAGCGGTAGAAAAAAAAGGTCGAACGACAAACGACGGTACGAACTCAATCAACTCTTTTTTTTGCTGCCTGGAACGAATTCGTCGGATTCAATTTGCAACCGGGGGGTTTCGTTGTTAGGGTCGAAGGTACCGATCGGAATGGGGAGTCGATGAAAATCGTCGCTAGTATTGACATTATCATATAAATACGCTGCGGTGACGATGACGCGCGAACGTGTATGCAACCGGAACCGGCGAGCGACGATTTTATGTGGATGCACGTAAACGCCGCATTTAAGAAGTATTGAGAGTATCGACGAGGATTTTCAGAAAATTTACGTTCTCCCACCCTTTCGTTACGTGTATTTACACAGTTGTCGACAGCAGCCGCGGAGAAATCTTTCCATCCGGGAAAGCGTTCTGTTGTAAAGAAAGGAAACACGTTTCTGAAATATTAATGCTTACGGTAAATCATCACCTAATGCGTGTCACGGATAATCAATTCCAGCGAGTTTATTAATGTTACGTACAATCTGCCGCCTTGCAGATGTTTGCAAAATACAATGGAACATGAATAGAATATTGCATCGCGGTAATACGATAAGTAAATCGTAAACAGCTTCCCTTATGCAACACATCAGGTATTATCCACATATACTAATAATATCTGTTGTGCATAATTTAAACGTTCGAATGAAACAAAATACGCTATCTTTTATTTAAAGAAGATTTGTTCCTTCTTCATATATTTATAATAATAATATTCATTGAAACATTTGATATTAATCATTCACTTCCTGGATGATTTGCATGTACAATTTATGAAGGATACGAATTCGACACAGAAAAACTAAAACAGATTTTTTACGCGAGAATCAGTGCGAAAATTTCAAAGAGAACTCAGAGTGCTCTCGCAATAACAATGGACACGTAAACTTTGTGCAAACGTGAAAGGATAATTTAACAAAGTTTACTACGCTGTGTTTTTCGTCGCGCTTGGTTCAAAGGCAATTTTTATACTTTCGTTAAGAATTGCTCGAAGTAGTCAATATTTGTTCATTGTCAAATAATATAAAATGTACGATTTTGCTAAAAATAATTTTGAAATAAAGCAACTAGGTTTGTATGCAACGTTAAATGATTACTTGGTAACACGTCGTTTTAAATCTAATTATTATAATTATAAACATGCACAAGAAATTTTTGTTAAAATTTAATTCAGTAAAAATAAATCTAATATGCAGATTGGATTTTATGCAATGTACGCAAATCGATTCCCAAACAAAATTGCTTTTCCTTATTGCGGACATCAATACGTTTCCCTTCGATCAAGGGGTGAAATTCCACGTGCTTTATGATTTGTCAAGGATCCTTGATATTGGAATGAATTTCATAAAGCAAAAGGGATACTGTCTGAACACGCACGTCTATTTCTACGAGAGATAAAAAAGAGGACGCCTGTACGAGTATTTTTATCGTTACTAAAAATTCACGCGTATGCATGCGTATTGTTAAAGAAGATTGGCAACCGTCTATATGTATTCTTGATAATCTTATAATCCTGTAAAAGTTTTAAGGGAATAAAAGAAGGACATGCCTGCCAAAGGAAGAATCTCGCTTCATATTTATAAAGCAACTTGAAATTAATTTTATTCTACTTGCTGCGTGCCAAGAGACGCGGATTGAATTTAGTTGGGAACGGCTGTGGAAGATTGAATCCAAGGTTGAAAACGGTTTTCAATTATTAACGCCCTGAATAAAGTCTTGGTGCAGCCACTCTCACGTGAACATCCCTAGGAGATGTTAGCCGGATGTCAATCCTAGCTGAGGCCGACTGGCATTTAAATTGTTGAATGTCGGAAGGCTTTAAGGATTTCATAAGATACCTATTCACGCGCCCGAGAAATCTCTGGGGGTTAATGCGCCTCGATGTGGAAAAAAAAATAAAAGGGGATAGTCGATTGAAGGATCGGGCAATTTCTCACCGTTCGAATCTCGTAAACCATGCTCTCTTTTAGAATCATACATCAAACAAAAATTGCATAGTTCAAATAAGAACAATATATAATATTATTATATTAAAACAATATATTAACAATTTATAATTTAATTTAATATAATAAAATATGAAGCATAAATTTTACAAGATTAAAGTTACAAGTAATATTTAAATTATAAATGAAATTCAGAATTCAGAGT